TCTGTTTTGGTTAGATTGACTAGGAGTTTGTCTATTGTGTTCATTCTTCCAAAAAACTAACTCTTTGATTCATTGATTCTTTGTTTTGTTTTGTTTGGTCTCAATTTCATTGATCTTTACAATTTCTTTGTACTAGCTTTGGGTTTGGATTATTGATGTTTTTTCTAGAATCTTGATGTGAATTATTAGGTTATTTATTTGGGTTTGCTCTGTTTTTGTGATATGGGCATTCATAGCTATAAACTTCCCTCTTAGGACTGCTTTCATTGTGTCCCACAAATTCTGGTATATTGTACTGATATTCATTTAGTTCTAGAAGTTATCTTATTTCTCCCTTGATTTCTTCTGTAGCCCATTGTTATTTAAGAGTGTATTGTTTAGTTTTCATGCATTTCCTTAATTTTTGTTGATTTCTTTCATTGCACTATGATCTGATAATATGCATGGTATAATTTTAATTCATTTACATTTATTTAATTGCTTTTGGCTAGCATGTGGTTTATTCTGGAGAAAGTTACACATGCTGCTGAGATGAATGTGCATTTTGTTGTTGGATGGAACCTTTTGTAGATATCTATTAAAACCATTTGTTCGAAGGCTTTATTCAACTCTGGTATTCGTTTGTTGATTTTTTGTCTAGCTGATCTATTTGTAATAGTGGGTTATTTGGGTCCCCCATAATAATTGTGTTTAGGTTTATCTGGTCTTTTATGTCCAGTAGTGCTTTTTTTATTAAGTTGGGTTAGGTCTCAAGCTTGATGCCATAATTGCAAGAGAATTTTGGGGGTCCTGGAATGGTAGTAGGCATATTTTTCTCCATAGAAGCAATGTGAATAATTATGTTCAAAGAGTGAAGTTTGTTAGATTACAAAAATGGCCACAATCCCTCAATCGATTGTTCCTGAATCCACTATCTTTGAGCTGTGACTCTGCAATAAGCCCAATCAAGATATGTTGATTATTTCTTCTTCCCTAGAATCTGTACTAGGCTTGTGACATTTTTGCCCAATAGAATGCAGTAGAAGGGTGGGATGAGTTTTGTATGTTAGCCTGGAGATATCTTGCATGTGTTGGCTCTTTCTCGTGCACTTCCATCCAGCCATTCATGTGAACAAAGCTGAATTAATTTGCCATAGGACAAGGGACGACATGGAACAGAAATGGGTCATCCCAATGGAAGGTACTGTAGATTATTCAGGACCCAACCAATTTACCAGATGACCTCAGACCCACAAAGGAGCCCAGCCAAGACCAGCACAACTTAGCTAAGTTGGCACAAGTTGTTGACTTGCAGAATTATGAGCTATATATAATAATATAAATGCTTGCTGTTTTATTTCGGTTAGTTTGTTATCCAGCAAAAGCTAAGCAATTAAAAGAAATATAACCAATAATAGGAGACAAGGCAAAGGGTTGGATAGGAGGGATTTAAAAGGAACGGAAGATATATGGGACAAATGAGAAAGAGTGCTAATATTTATTGACCTAAGTGGCAGGTACATGGGTATTTGTTTTATCCTTCCCTCTGATTTTATTTTAAAGTTTTCATTATAACAAATGAGGTTACAATTTTAAAGTGAAGAGAGTTTAAATACTGGAGTCCTAAAAGGCTAAGGCTCTTTCTCTTTCCCCTATACTCTCATTTCCATGGCTTTAAATATTTCTGTATGCTGATAATTTCCAAATTGATATCTCTAGCTCAGGCTTCTCTTAGAAGCTCTGGACTTGTATTTGTATTACTTGACTTCTGCACTTGAATGTCTTTTAGGTATCTCCAATTCAACATATTTAAAACTGGTTAATCTTTCTGTGGTAGCCAGTCTCTACAATGGTCCCCATGACCCCCTACCTCCTGATATTCATTGCACACCCCATATAATATCTCCCTCACAGAAGCAGGGTTGATCAGTGTAATCATAGAATTTTACAGAAACAACAGTGTATGACTTCCAAGGCTAGGTGATAAAAGACACTGTAGCTTTTGCCTTGTTCTTTCTTTGGATCATTCACTCTGGGGCAAACCAGGTGCTGTGTCATGAGGACATTCAAGCAACCCTATGGAGAAGCCCATGGGATGAGGAACTGAGGCCTCATGCTATAGCCACATGAGTGAGTTATCAGGGAAGCTGATCCTTCAGCCCTCGTCACACTTTCTTAGGACTGCATGCCCTGCTGACATTTGACTGCAACCTTGTAGGAGATCCTGAGCTAGAGAACTACCAGCTAAGCTGCATCCATCTTCCCCTAACCCACAGAAAAAGCCAGGGCTTCTAAGTTCACCCACATGGCTGTTGGCAAGAGGCCTCAGTTCCTTATCACATGAGACTTTCCATAGGACTTCTGGCTTCACCTAGAGAAAATGATCAGAAAAAGAGCAATCAAGATGGAAGCCCCAATGTCTTTTATATCCTAATCTTGGAAGTGGCCAGCTATCACTTCTACTAAGGAGGAATCTTTGAAGGCCCTCTTAGAGGATGGCTATCCCATTCTTCAAGATCTCATAGCTAGTAAGTGGTTTGCGTGGAGGAGGAATGATTTTTATCAAGGCTCTCTTGACACCAAATCTGTATTTTTAACCATTTAGTGTAAAGAAGAAAAGGGAAATGGGTTTTATGTACAAATCATGGCTGGGCTAAAGGGAAAGGCAAGGAATAGTGAAAAAAAATCACAAACAAGTTCTAACTCTGGGCTTCCCAATATCCTATTTTCTCCTGTGCCACCATTAAAAGTCAACTACCTAAACAAGTCCCAGAATCCTTAAAGCTCTCCCAAAGTTCCAGCCAGCTTCATAAACAGAAATCTTTTACAGGTAGTGTCAAGCCACAGCCAAGGCTGGACAGGTCTAGATGGCACACCACACCTCCAAAACTCAAGGCTGGCTCCATTATTCTAGTATCATATGACTATATTTTATTGTCCTAAAAACCTCACTTCCATTCTGCTGCATGAAGAAGAAATTATCACATATTTAGGAAGCAAAATTTGCAATATCAGGTACTAAGCTCATCGGGGGCGGGGGTGGATAACGAACAATGGCTCACTCTGACAATCCATAAAATACGAATAAGTGTGGTGGCATGAGTAGGGGGCATCAATAGTGAGAAAGAAAAGGTTAAGACTGGACAGCTTAGGTTTGAAGTGCCTATGGGATGTATAGGTACAAATGACTCGGAAGCTGTTATATGTGTAGCTCTGAATCTTGGAAAGAAAGATCAGCCTAAAAATACAGACCTGGAGCTTCAGAAGGATAGTTGGATTTGGGGCATTTCACTCAGAGAGTGTAAAATTAGAAGTGCTATGTGGGCTGAGATTCAAAACCTATATGCCAGCCTCCCCAAAACACTTCCTGCCTTCTTCATGCTCTCTCCTGGCTTTGCCTGACAAACACCTGTTCCTTCTGCAACATTCAACCTTAGTCTCTACTTTTCTTTAAGGCCCTACCAGGCCCAGTACAGTTTCCCCTTCCTCTGTCTTCCTGCATCATTTTATACTTAGCTCTATTAGAGTACTTCTGCTGGTCCATAAGTATGTTTGTCTTTTTGAGGTATGGGTTATATCTTAACTTCTAATTCACCGTTCTGCTCCTAGGAGGTTAGTACTATTTATATAGAAGGAGAAAGAGACCTGAAGATCACCATCAAATTAGGTATTGGCCTCCTCTGTGACCTCTGGGAAATCCCTTTTCCTCTCTGGGCCTTAGTATTCTCCTGTATAGATGTAGAGAGGGCCCCATCTAGCTGGAAGACTGAAATTTCTTGAATGAATCTTCTTTTTGGTACCGGGGATTGAACTCAGGACCTGTGTTTGCCAGGCAGGTGCAGTGCCACTGAGCTACATCCCTAGCCCACTGAATGAATTTTCAATAGCCATTCTAGGCTGTAGGGGAGTGAGCAGCAGAGTGGGAAGATGGCTTGGGTATGTCAGGAATCCACTTTGTGGACTTCAGGTGGATTCTGACCTAACTCTTAAGACTTCCCTAATCATAGAGAAAAATGTTGGGACTGAATTTGGGCTCCTACCTAAAGACAGATTCTGAGTTTCTTGCCCAGCAGGGGAAAGCGTGCACAAATGGAAAGGTGAAAAACTGAAAAAAATCTCATTGGATGCAATTATGCCTCCATTTTTTGCTGCCCTCACTCCCTGATCACAGGGGAATCATTGTCTTCTGCTCTCCCCCCACTCAACTTTCTATGGCTAGCCTGAAGTTAACTGAAGTGGGGCTGGCAGTCAGCTAGTAAGTCTCAGAGTCCTTTGCTTCCCACTCTGCACTCACCTATTCCCTTTCCTGTGACTGGGCTTTATTTGCGTATCATGTGCCCTTCCCTGCCACTTTGTAGGCCAATGATATTATTACTTGAATTTAATTGTTCACTTCTTTTTGTGGCATAAAGAACAATGAAAGAGAGGGAAGGGTTAAGGATGGGTCAGAAGGTTCTCAGAATATTCAGTTTAGAAGGTGATTAGAAGCACCTTGTACAACACTATTCTCACTCATCTTCCTTTTGAGTCTTGTTAGGGGACAGACAGGTGATGGAGACCAGGATTGCAGTCACGATGACCCTTGAGAATAATCGCACTCCTACCACCACCATTCTATCACAGGCCTATCATTACTTCTTTGAGAGATTTCCAAACTTTTAACTTTCCTATCTTATTATCGGAGCTAGCGCTAATATGGACAAATAAATTAGGTCAACTGAAGGAGAGAAAGAGAAAAATAAGACTGAAAGAATTTTTTTCCTTTTTGGTACTGGGGATCAAACCCAGGGCCTCACACATGCTAGGCAAGTGCTCTACCACTGAGCTACATTCCCAGCCCCTACTTATGGAACTTGTGATGACTCGATCATGAAATGTTTATTGAGTGCTGAGCCAGAATATTTATTTAAACTCTAAGTACATCATAGGCTATGTTATACATATTTAAAAGACATTTTCAGTTTGGGTTGGAAGCTTTATGAACTACATAGTATCTAAGATAATAAAAATTGCACAGAAACTCATGCCAATAAAGAGACCTGTTTATTACTGATAACACTTCTTTTGACTAAAACCACAAGAAATTCACACACAAATACATAAAGTGCAAATTCTCACAGGCAGTAGTTTATAATTCACCCTGGTATTTTTGTAGGAAAAAAAATGGATGTTGACAAAAACTGTTAAAATGGGGGTACAATTTTGAACTATTGCTACACACGTAGAAAAATAATTCATTCTTAACTGTATATATTTGATGTCATATCTAATGATGTATACTCAAAGCTTACTTTAGCCTATAACAGGAAGGCCTCACCATATACAGAAGCAGACTTTTGTTTTTTAATATAAAGTAAGACACATAATGAATCATAACATTGGGCAAAAACAGACCAAATAGTATTAAATTAGTTGTAACTTACTTAGAAGGTATGATTAGTAAGCTCAAAATCACACTTAGACTACGTATCAAATCTACATAGATATTTTCTTACCCTTTCTGGCTAGCAGCTTGCTTTGGATGTAAAATACTGGGCATTATACATAATTTCCATGTAGAAAGGTGCTCTGCTCTCCCCACAGAAACTGATTATTACATCACTTATAAATTTCAGTAATGAGAGTCATGTAAAAAAACCAAATTAGAAACATTTTTTAATTTTAAAAAGCTATTTGCTTCCTTAAAATAAGATCCCTTAATTTCTATTAAAACAAATTAAGCACTCTATAACAGGTACTAAATTAGGTATATGGATATGAAAAATTACAAATCATGCTTCTTGCTCTCAGGGAGCTAAGAGCTCTTTTCTCTCCTTTTCTTTTAGGTGTCAAGAAATGATGAGTGCTCCTTCTTAGTCAAGGAATCTCAATAAGTTAAAGAGAACAAATTGGCCAATATCTCAGACTGTATAATAAGGTTCAACAGTAACATAACAGTTTCAAGTCAGCTTAACTTAGTATTAGTGATTTAGAAGGTCAGTTTCTAAAGTGCAGGGAATATCCTCCATATATTCTATGCTCATCTTTCTCATACTGGGGTCAGTGTGTATACCCCCAGGGATATGCAGCAATTGAGCATGCAGATGTTAGGAGAGAACACTGAGAGGCCACATGATAAACACAGTGCTCCTTTCTGGCAGCACCAGTTTCAGTGAAGATTGAAGATATCATTTCTATATTAGAAGTTTTATTAAGGCGAATGCAAAATTTACTTACAATATAAAGTCAGAACACAAAATTTCATGTCAGTGGCGGGCTGCTTCTGATTTTGCTCTCAGGCCTCCTTCCCCTTCATGCTCCTCTGCTTTAGGGTTCTGCTGGTGGAAAAAAATTGAGACGCAAACTCTAGATATGTCACTTTGTTCCTACTTTGATCATTTCACTTATTCTTGTAGGTTCTCTTATTAAAGTACATAGTCTTGAATTAACAAAGAAGAAAGATGACTTGGTAAATGTAACAGTATAGTAAATATTTGAAAATAACCAATACTAATTTTGTTTCCCACTGGAATTAAAGCTATGCTTTGTAAAGAATCAGAAAATGAGCCATTCTCTCTCTATTTAGACTTATGGCTTAGAGTAAAATGGTTTGAGGGAAATATGTGAAAAAATTTGAGGAAATTTTGTGCTTTGGCTCCCCAAAGTATAAGGAAACTGATATAAAATGCTAGATCAACTGACCATTTTGGTATGATTGCTTCCTCATCATTTCTAGAGCAAGTTCAGAAAACAAATGAATTTAAAGGGCTATAATAAATTAACATAAAGCAATATCAGACAGACCAAAATAGATTATGAAACAGATTTAAAATTTCTTCTTACAATAATCTTAAATAATCTGACAATAATAAAATTAAAAAGTCCATAAGTAAACAGTTTATGAGTAAGTTTAAAGCATTTTGAATGAATAGTTAAGATATCTTATCAGTGAGGTAACATATAAATAGCTTTTCACAGGTAGAAAATGTTGAAGAGTGCCTAGGGAAAGAGGGAGGTAGAGAGAAAAATTAGATGTATCTAAGCAGAATTTGGGTTTTTTTTTCAAGCATTAAAAACATCAATGGAAAGCATGTGGAAAAAACATCAATAGCAGCAGTTCATAGAACAATTTCTCCTGTTGACTACAGCTAACACGTCTGTTGTATCAGTATGCAGATATTACAAAATATCCAATCTCTCAGAACCTCTTTACTGAATTACTATATCCAACTAACAATACTTTATATTTAAAACAAAACCCTCAAATATCCTATAATGCTATACATTCTTTAAGAGAAATAGAATTGTGTTCAATTTCTCACTTAACTCTCAAGGTCAGCTAAAAAATAACATCCAAGCAGGTCTTTATTCATTGCACTCACGCATCTGCTACTCAAAATATACAAAAATTATTTTGTGAGCTAAATTCTTATAGGTAAGGGTGAAATCCAAATGTTATCAGTGCTTTTTACAACATGATTTTTTGTTCCAATCTGAATTTTTAAAAATATGTGTTGCAAGAAAAGATCTTTTAAAAAGCCATTTAGTGTATCCCTTAACATTAAACAATTTTTATTCCCTTAAAAACAAAAAATATTTCAAATGGGAGATTTTATGAGAAATTCTGCCCAAGAAATTCTTAAATCTTAAGCATTTCATACTGTCTTTTAAAAAAATCCTTTTTCTTGAAGGAAGATACAAGAAAAAAAGTGAAAATAGAAGGAAAAAATGGAAACAAAGCTTTTGTACATAAGGAGAGGAGGGGGCTTGAGGGGGGGAATGGGATAAAATAAAATATATTAAAAACAAAAATAAATAAAAGTATTAAAAAATGAAAAATTTTCTGTCTGATCTGTCCTCCTCCCTAGAGATGGAGAACAGTATGACATTAGTACTTAAGTCCTTCAATAAAAGCCTCAGTGAATAACTCATGACTTAGTAAATGATCTCAACAGCTTTCTCCTTTCTAGAGTTAAATGACCATAATTCTTTCAACTTTTTCTCAGGTCTTTGTTTTCTAACCTATATTTTATTCCTTTTTGTTTCTGCTTAATCTCCTCCTTAGTTCTCACATGATTCCGAACACAAAATCCTAGCAGGAATTTAATTTGTAACAGAAACACTTATTTTCACCTCCTAAAACTGGGTTGTTTTTAGTGATCTCTAATACAGGAAAACAACAGGCTCACTATCTGCTCATTATACCAAGAAATAAACGCAAGTGAACAACCTTGCCCACAATTTATTCCCTATCTTTATGGTGTTAGGTTTATTCTTCACAAGAAACACTTCTTATGCTGTCTTATTGGGCTTTATATTTTCTATTTTTACTGTTTACTTCCAATTTATGCTTTGATCTTGCCCCATTCGTTTCTTTTCCCATGCAGAAAATAGCTTTTATTTACATGTTCAATGAAAATTCATACACAGATTCTGAGTCTGTTCAAAAAGAAAAAGATGAACAATTCAGTGCCTGCAACTGACACCCATAGGACAGCACTTCTGCCTGCTGGGATGTCACTGAACTTATCCTGATGGCAATGTGTATCCACTATGTTACATTCATGTTAAATATCATGCTCAGACAGACTCAAGAGTTTGGGTAGAATCAAATAGTGCCCTCAATCTATATACTTCAGGAACATTTATAAAATTTTGTTAATTTCAACTTTAGACTTTAATATTCTTTAGAGAAGAATCCAAACTCCAAGGAATCTTCAATTTAAGATGTTTTCCATGTTGCATTATATTAAAGCACCCAAAATAAAATTATTTTCTTCATAAGAGAATGACAATCATGACATGGTTCTAGTGATTATGAATGGGCTGTCATATATATTTAGCCTCCTTTTGTTCTTTGGTCACAGAAACACAGATACTAAAACCAAATACAGTGTTCTTCATACATATACAACATTGTTTATACCACTCTGTAGAATATATGCCTGTTCCTAAGTTACAATCTACATTCCTAAAAGCTAACAAAACAAAAAGTGTTTTTCACATTTTAAAATAAAATAAAAAATTCTACACATTTCTTCTTTAGTGCAAAGCTTTTGAAAACAAATTCATTCAGAAAAAAATGGTGCTCTACATTTTGCTAGCTATTATCTACAATCCTACAAGATCTAGAGATAAAATAAGGAAGGAACAAATTAACAATAGTGGCAATACAATAATTCGAAAATTATATTTAAATTATATGAGCTCAAGCAAAGTTAGCTGACAGCTAAAACAAATCAAACTGTGATTTAATCAACATTCTAATCAGTTCAGACTTTACATTATTATTACTAATTTTTAAGGAATAAAATCTCTAATATCAGTGCTGTTCCTATGGGCAATTTATCTAGGTGATTACACCCAAAACTTTGCTTTTGTTACCCCAGCTATATATGTGTATTTTGCAAACTGGACAGGAGAAGATAGACCTTACAAAGATTAAACAGCAGTTCTCTATTAAATCTTTTCAGAAGACTATAAAATCAACCAAAAGTTACTTTCTTAAAAATTTTTTTCTATATTAAAAACAGATAAAGAGTATTCTTGTGATCAGAAACTCAACAGAAGCCAGCAAAATGTTAGAATAACTTGAAACTTAGCCTTAATCATTAGTTTTAGTGTTTCTTAGTATTTAAAATCTGGATGCTTTATTAAAATTAGCATTACTTCACCAGATAAAGGAATAAATCTATTGTCAAAAATGTTATTCCAAAGTTAAGACTATCAAATAAATTCAGAGCTCACTTATCAGTTCAGAATTTTTTCTTTCCTACAGGTTAAGATAACTGACACAAACCTAACTTGAAGATACTTAACAGTTACATTAAACTTGCTTTCGTTCAGATCTTCTTATACAATCATAGTATTTAAAAATCAACACACTCACTTGATATAGAGGAGGTACCTGTACAGTTTGGAAGATTTTCTGTAACTGAAAATTGATAAAATTATATTCAGTGCAGGAACACTGTTTCAGTTCACATCAGACTTGAGAAGGCACTAAGAAATTTGACAAGAACAAAGCCATTATGAATATTGCCACTATTGTTTTCTGTTCATAAACATCAGAGTTTTAAATACATACAGTAAATTTACACTGCACCAAGGGCACCAGAAACAGATACGAAACCACATATTATAACATCTGTACTAAACTAGAAATGCTAAATACCCTATTATAAATATTTTAATTTATAAATTAATACCTAAGATGTAACAATGACATTTTTCCATAATGATGTAGGACTACTACCATTTATTCCATTTTTATGGATTAATTTCTAATCCTATAATTAGGTAACATTTATTGCCTTTTTAAAAACCATGCTATACACAAGTACTAGATATGGATTACTAAGCTTAATCAATCACACTTCAATAAGACAACTCACTTTTGTTGTTGTTATGTCTGTTAAAGGAAGAATGATGTGTTACCAGAACACTTTTAATGTAATGACTTTCATTCAAAAGGATTCAAACATCTGATTCATTTCCTTCCATTTACATTTCAAATTTATACAGTTTGTTTAGTCAGCTGAACAAAAAGAAAAGAAAGAAAAAGAAAGGAAGAAGATACTTGGCCAAATGAGATAGAGAATGCTAACAGGAGATTCAATGCATGGAGTTCTTGGTAGTTTGTTCCACGTGTTAGTACAAAGTCATAATGCATGGATGTGCCCTACACAGAACGCCAGATCAGTCCATTCTTGCTGGGCTCAAGAAAATTTTCTATCAGAGCTTCAATGAGTTTCTTCAATTCTTCTTCCAGGAAGGTAATGTCACTAAGAAAAAGATTGAGAATTTAAAACTTCTTTATTTTCACAGCCTTAAAATTTGTTTAAATTATTTTAATTTTTACGAGAGCATATACCTGCTAAAGAGAAAAACAATCAATAAAAAAATTAGACCCTAAAAATTATATATAAAGAAAATATCATGAACAGAAACTGAACTGCAATAACAGGAATTTCTTGGCACATGATAAGAAATGAATTAAAATATAGCTAAAATATTCTCCTAGGTCATACAATTTAATAAGCTTTCAACATTAATACTGCAGTATTATTGTAAAAGACAGTTTAGTTAGCTTATGAATAGGCAGGTAGCTAGAGAAAGGAGCTAAAGTAGAATTGGGTGGTCAGCCACACTGATAAGAATTAAAATAAAAATAGGCAGTGAAACTGGGACTTTTGATCAGGAAAGGAGTTCCTCAGGCAACATAGAATGCAACCCCTCCTTACATTAAGGGCCAAGTTTAGAGGAACTTAAAAATGCAGAATAACCAGTTTTCTTTTAAAACTGGTTTCCTTTAAATTCTTCATACTGAGTAGCTAGTTTAGAGAGACTGAGTTCCAAAAGGTCATTTTATTTTATTTTATTTATGTTTTTTAAAAGCTTCCTTCCTTCCTTTATTTATTTATTTATTTATTTATTTATTTATTTATTTATTGGTACTGGAGATTGAACTAGGGTCCTTACGCTTGCACAGCAGGCGGGAAAACCACTGAGCTAAATCCCCAGCCCCCCAAAAAGTCATTTTAAACCCAGGGCCACGTGTGATAGATGGTCACTGGGCAAGTGAGCAATTCCTGTGCTCTGGTTATTCATAAAAAGTTTTGCACTGAGGGGCCATGAGACACTCTACTTTCTGAGATCACTCCCAGCTACCAGGAGCCCTTTTTGTTCTTACATTTTCAATAAACTTTTCTCCTTTAAACTCGTTTCTGTCTGTGATTTCTTTCTTTGGCGTTGTGAGACAACAGGCTTGGTTTGTACAATGATAGCTGTTTCATCATGATAAAAGGCTTCCTGAAATACTTTGAAGAATACTCAATATTGATGTCATGGGATAATGTGATATATCTTTCAGGTGGCAGAAGGAGAGGTGATTAAAAGAATAAAATGTTGGGCTGGGGATTTAGCTCAGTGGTTTTGCCGCCTGCTGCACAAGAGCAAGGACCCAAGTTTGATCCCCGGTACAAAAAAAAAAAAAAAAGAATAAAATGTTAAAATAAAATAAATATTCACTTCAAGTAAGCCCTTCAAGACAATCACTGAGGAGCTACTACTGCCCAAAATACTTCTAGGAAAGCTTCTTTTAAATTTCCTTCATGGTCATTTTATAAGGTACAAAACAAATCAGTTCTCATTATTTTAATAATCATCTTTTGTTTTAAACCAAATATAGCATTACCCAATTTGCTTAACTTGAAAGTCTGCTCTACATGACTTCAGGTCTTTTTTCTCCCTAACATAAACAAAATCTTAATGCAAAGGTATGAGGAAATACAAAATAATATATTCTGGTTGGGTTCTGAAAGCAATTTCAAGAAACTGCCTTTCCACTGGGCATGGTGGTTCATGCCTGTATAATCTCAGCACCCTGGGAGGCTGAAGTAGAAAGATCACAAGTTTGAGCCTAGCCTAAGCAATTTAGCAACTTAGTAAGGACCTGTTTCAAAAAAATAAAAAGGGCTAAGTATGTAGCTCAGTGTGAAGGCCTTGGTTTCAATACCACAACAAAATAAAACAAAACCAACAACAGCTCGCTGGAGCTGGAACTGTCAGGTGACGCCAGCAGCAGCCTGCTGGAGCACTCAGCATAGGCTGAGTGGGCTTTGTGGTATCTGAATCTGCACTGCAGAGGCGCTGGGGGCCCATAAAGGCCATGGTTATGAGCCCCAGAAGATAGAGCAGAAGTGAACAACAGAGAGGGCCTCTCTGAGGCTCCTCAATGAAAAGGGAAGCCCACTGGGAAAGTGAAGAAAATCTCTGCAATAAAGGTACACTGGACCACAGTGGTTGGTGGGTTGGTGGGATCAGCACCTCCCATAGGAACCTGGACTCACTTAGTGGGGAGAACAGCTAGAACCTGCAGTAGAACCTTGCAGATTTCAATTCTGCAGGAGGCCAGGGACCTCAACTTGCGCCTTGCAGCCAGAAATCAGCCTGAATCTCAGTGGACTACAGCTGGCTTGCTGAGACTAATCAACTTAGATCTGCACACTGCTGCCCACATTGTCTACCAGGTCAGCAAAGACATACCCTGAGGGAGGCCCTTTCTCTCTCTCTCTCTATTTTTTTCTTTTCTTTTCTTTCTCTCTATCTCCCTTCTTATTCTGCATTTCTCTCTTTGTTCCTGTTCCTGCTCCATTTCAAATTGTTTTTCTCTCTCTTTCCTTCTTTCCACTGTCACTATTCTTATAGGAAGGTGAATACAGTTTCTAGCTCCCCTATTGCTGTTAGTTTGTTCTGTTCTTGTCTTTGTTCTGTCCATCTTTTCCTCTTATTTTCAACAGTTTCCCAAAATTTGCGTAATCTTTCTGTGTCCTCTAGCCTCACTTCTAACCTTTTCCTCTCCTTTGATCTCTCTATCCCTCCCTCCCCAACCCCCTCTAAATCCTTATCCCGAAGAGAAAATTTGCTATATAGAAGGGTTTATTTACTACAAACATATTTTGGGCTGGCCCTCAATTTTGATCTAGCTCATGGGCAGTTAAGGTGACAGATTAACTGCTACCACAAATTGTCATTGTCTAAGCTGTGTTTGATGCTATTGTTGATGCTGATTGTGTCAACTGGGCTAAGGTGTCATGATTGATCTAATCACTTGTCCTCTCTGGTATATGGAAAATGAGATTGCCTAAGAGTCATTAGAGACTCAAAGCCTAAAAAGATGAGCTACAGCTGGAAGATACTTCTGAGAAGCAATCATTCCATTAGGGTTCTAAATACAAGCAATAAAGATACTCAAAATAAGCAATATTGAAGTATCAGCCCAGGAATTAAACCAAAAAACAGCATCAACAACAAAATTAAAAATGAGAAAACACCTAAACAAGGCACAAACCCAGACTTCTAGCTCACCACATGCAAATTCTGGGGGTAACGAGGTGGAAAGATCTGATAATCAACCACCTGGCCACCCTGAACTGATAGCATGGGAAGTAACAAAACAGATGAATGAGGCTCTAGAAAAATTCAAAACAGAAATAACTTGTCAGAGAACTACAGAGATGGTGAGCAGAATGAAAGACATGGTTAGAGACTCTGGAACAGAAACAGATAAAAAAAATAGATGAGCACAGGAACAAGATGGAAGCCATGAATGCCCAGCATAGGAAAGAAATGGAATCCATAAAACAGATTCAAACAGATATCCAGGATATTAAAAACTCCACTGAAAGTACTCACAGCAGATTGAGCCAATGTGAAGATAGAATATCAGATATAAAAGACAGGATTGCGGTTAGTGACCATGAAAAGAGAGATTTCTTAAAAATAGTAAGGGACCATGAGAAATGGATCAAGCAGCTGCTTGGTGATGCAAGGAAGAATAACATAAGACTGACAGGGTCCACAAAAAAGCAGGAAAAAGTACAAATGACATTAAAAAAAACCTGTTCACAGAAGTAATAGCAGAAAACTTCCCAAACAGAGGAGAAGAATTTGACATACAGATAAGTGAGGCATATAGAACTCCAACTAGCCATGATAAAAAAAAAAATCTACACTTAGACATACAATAGTGAAGATCCTGGAAACCCAACAGAAGAACAAAATCTTACAAGCAGTTAGAGAAAAGAAACAAATCATATACAAAGGAAAGCCCGTTAAAATCACAGGAGACATTTCAACACAAACACTCAAGTCAAGGAGAGCCTGGAGTGAAGTATTTCAAGCCCTAAAGGAAAATAGCCTCCAACCTAGACTGTTGTATCCTGCAAAATTATTTTTCAAAATTGATGGGGAAATTAGATACTTCCACAACAAAGAATACCTGAGAAACTTCATGAATACCAAACTAGCACCCCAAACAATTCTAAACAATATCCCAGAAAAAGACAATGAGGATTACAACTCCATGAGGCCCAAGAGAGTGAAGCCATCAGGCAAGGCAAGAAATTAAAGGGAAAGGGGGAAAAATAAAAAATAAAAGAGTCAACAACAGTAAAATATCATGACAAGGATGAGTCAATATGTATCAATTATAACCATCAATGTTAATGGCATCAATTTACCAATCAAAAGAAACAGAGTGGCAGAATGGATTAAGAAGCAAAATCCAACAATATGCTGTATAAAAGAAACACACCTAATTCAAAAAGAAATTCACAGACTAAAAGTAAAACGATGGAAAATAGTTCTCCATGCAATAGTAACCTGGAAAAAAGCAGGGGTAGCTATCTTATTTGCAGACAAAGTAGATTTCAGACCAAAACTAATTAAGAGAGACAAAGAAGGTCATTACATCCTTGTAAAGGGAAGAATCTAAGAAAAGAGATGACAATCATAAATATATATGGATCAAATACTAATACCTTCAACTATACAAAACAAATATTAATGAACATGAAAAACCAAATAAGCACTAATACAAATGTAGTGGGGGAACTCAATAACCCATTGTTACAAATAGATCATCTATACAAAAAAATCAATAAAAAATACTAGAACTGAACCAAGCTTTTGAACAAATGGACTTAATAGATGTCTACAGAGTGTTCCACCCCACAAAATCAGAATATACATTGTTTTCGGCTGTACACAGGTCATTCTCCAAAATAGACCACATGCTAGCTCACAGGACATGTTTAAGCAAATGCAAAGGAACTGAAGTTATCTCCTGTATATTATCAGACCATAGTGCAATAAAATTGGAGATCAATAGCATAAGAAACCTCAAGAACCCCACAAACACATGGAAATTTAATAACATTCTCCTGAACAACCAATGGGTCACAGAGGAAATTAAAGAAGAAATCAGACAGTTTCTACAATT